TAATGGAGGCTCCCCTGAAATTTAAGGTGACTGCAGTTTTAGGAGAATGACTGGAGATGTCTAGGCACCCATTTGAGGAGGTAAAAGGTGTCCTTGGTCTTGAAGAGGAAGGAAATACATGATGTAAAGTTAGGGTTAATCAACCCTGTATTACCAGTTTTAGACAGACACTCCTTAATGATTAACATGTCTATATGCAGAGCTGAGCAAGGATTTGGCTTAAAGTTTTAAAGTAATAAAGGAGGCAGATGCAAAAGAAAGGCAAAGATATCATGCTTTTTAAAAAATCTTTTCTGTGGGGGTACTGGGAATTGAACTCAGGACCTCATACTTGCCAAGCAGGCACTGTGCCACTCAGTTATATCCCTGGCCCAAAGATAGTAAGCTTTATCCTCCTTTTAGTTACCTACTGGGCCTCTGTAGGCCCAAGTGAAGAATCATTGTTTTTTTGTTATTAGCAAAAGAAGCTTTTAAGTCCCTGATTGTCTCAGAAGAAAATATAGATCAAGCTTTTAGTGCATGACAGATTAAAGGTTCAGGACTTTGTCTGTCCTCTGTCCCTCTGTGAGGATCCACAACAATTTTACTTTCTCATCTTGTTCATTTTTGGAGACTCTACCATGAGAGCATCTTGGTTTTAGTGATGCACCTGCTTCTTGAAGTCAATAAGCTTGTGTGGGAGAGTTAGGAGATAAGGGAAGAATATACACCACACTTTCAATGAATAACAGGTCCTGAGGTAAGGTCCAGACGTGCCCTTGTCCTTTGTTCCCATGGTGGTCTCTGTTTCTTTTAGCAATAATTATCTAGTTTAGTTGGCTTGAATATGCTGTGCTAAAATGTTTGTTCTCAATCTAGTGATGCAAAACAGTCCCTTAATGATCAAAAGATAGTACAGGAGGCTACACCCATAAATTAGCATCCACAAAACAATAAATTACTTATGCAACACATTTGTGCAACACACTTTTCATTCCATACATCCAGATTTTCTGCATGTTCTGGTTCTTTCTGGCCCAGTCTGGCTGCTCACTGCAACAGGCCAATTAAGTCAAGAGATAGGTGTTAACGCAAGGAAGCTGTTTTATTTTTTAAGCTGGATCAACAAGAAAAAAGGAGGACTCTTGTCACAAAATCCTTTTGGGTTGGGGTGCCCAGGGGCCCAAAGGGTTTTTACAGGAAGGTTAAGGATGAGCACATGGGAAAGTTCACACATTATGTGGGGGGTTTTGTCATCCGAGCTATATGTCTCCTTTCTTTTTCATTGGGCAGAGTATCACAATGGGATTCAATCTCCTACAGCTAGCTCTTGTATTGTCTTAAAATAGACATATTTTAAAAAGCATTAGGCCAATAACCACAGTACTGTAAGATGATTAATAGCCCATGACCTCAAGAAGATTGCAGTCTAATGGGTGAGGCAGAGTACAAAGTAATTACGTAAAGCAAGAAAACTGCCCACAGTAGTATACTGACAAAAACTGTAGGAGTGACAAACAATAACAACTAATTCTTGCCAAGAGTATCAGTAGGAGGTGGAAAATCTCAATTGAATGTTAGAATAAATAAAGTTTCAACATGTGGTCAGAGTACAAGATAAAATAGCAGGAACAAAAAATTAGGAGTAGGAGAATCTGAGAAATAGTATTCAGAGAATGGCTAAGGGTTGAGGGTTCCAGAGGAAATGGGATTCCAGCTTTTAAATTAGAGATTCTAGATTTCATGCTATGGGTTATTGACTGCTCAGAGTGCGAGCATAGAAGTGATATTCTCAGTTGTTTTAAAATATCATGCTGTTCAATCCAAAATGGGCATCTGAGATGAATATACACTTCTCAGATGAAGAAATACTAATGGCAAATAAATATATGGAAAAAATGTTCAACATCATTGGTCATTCAAGAAATGCAAATTAAAACAACACTTGAGATTCCATCCAACCCCAGAAAGAATGGCTATCATCAGGAAATCAACCAATAACAAATGCTGGAGGGGTTGTGGGGAAAAAGCAACCCTTCTCCACTGCTGGTGGGAATGTAGACTGGCGAAACCACAGGAAATCAGTGTGGAGATTCCTCACAAAATTAGAACTGGAGGTTCCACTTAACCCAGCTATTCCCCTTCTGGGTATTTTCCCAGAAGAATTAAAAACATCATCCCACAGCGATATATGTGTACCCACGTTTATAGCAACACAATTTGTCATAGCTAAACCTTTTTTTTTTTTTTTTTTTTTTTTGTCTTTTTGAGACAGGGTCTTGCTATGCAGTTCAGGCTGGCCTTGAGCTCACTTTGTAGCCCTGGCTGGTTTCGAACTTGCAACAATCCTCCTGCCTCAGCCTCCTGAGTGCTGGGATTACAGGTATGTGCCACCACACCAGGCTGTCATAGCTAAATCTTGGAAACAACCCAAATGCCCATCAACTGAGGAATGGATAAAAAAAGGTGTGGTATTTTTATACAATGGAATATTACTCAGCTATAAAAAAGATAAACTCAAGGCTTTTATAGGTAAATGGATGCAACTAGAGACCATACTTATAAGTGAAGTAAATGGACCCACAGGTGTAAACACTGTATTATCTCCCAAGTGTAAGAAGCTGAAAGTAAATAAAACCCCAAACATACAATAGATATTGTGAAAGGGAAAGAAATTGCTCAAAGGAAGAAACAACTGGGATGAGGGAAAGGAAAAAAACAAAGAAGGGGTTAAAAATATATATATAAAAGGATAGGGCTGGGGATGTAGCTCAGCAGCACTAGCGCCTGCCTGGCAAGCACAAGGTCCTGAGTTCATTTCCTGGCACAAAAAAAAAAAAAAAAAAAAAAAGAAGAAGGATAGCTGGGATAATTGTACTGCTGATGTCTAATAGTTTATTGTAACCACTGTGAAATTATCAATATGTAATACAACCACTGTTAATTCCCTGTCACCTTATTTGTAATTCAGTATTGCTTGTACTATTCTTGTGCTACTTTATAAATGGTTGTCTGTCTCTTAATATGTTTTCATTCTTTTACTTCTAAAATAAATAAATAAGCAAAGGAACAGTTACTGCTTAAATTTTTTTGACCAATTTTGCATGCTTATATCTGGTAATCGGAACAACTAAGTTGTAATATGTAATATAACAACCATTGGCAAATTCCTATCATCTTTAGTGAAGCCCTGTATATTTTCTAATGTTTTTCTTATTATTTTTTATTCTCTTTAATGGTTTGATAAATCATGCATTCTTACATCTGGAAATCTGAACAACTTTTTGAAGATAACAATATGTTATATAACAATCACTATTAATTCCTGTATCATTTTTACTGTTTTTGCTTTGTTTTGTTTTTGTCTGTTGTTGTTAATTTCCTTTTACTCTCCTTTTAAAAAAGAAAAAAATAAAATATCATGCTGGCAACAATGTTTAGAAATGTCATTTAGAAATACACTCTTGGGTGGAACACTTTAAAGAAAAGCAAGGCAATGATTACTATAAAGTCAGGATTATAGTAATCTCCAGAGCGAGAGAAAGACTTCCTCTATGGAAAGTTGTGATTAGAAAAGGAAACACACACTTTTCCATTTCTTGCAATGTTCTGTTTCTTCACTGGAGTGGAAGTTTTATGGGTGTTTTTCCAACAAAGATTTAAAAATTGCCCATCAATTTATGCAGTTTTCTACATGAACATTGTATTTTGCACTTTCAACTACAGATATATAAAGAAATATGAGTTCTTTAGCCACTGCTCTTTTTCATTCTTTCTTCAATCCTGCTGTTTGAAATATAAATATAGTACTGCCACCAAAGACCATGAAAACAAGGATCACATTAGAAATCGTAGAACAGCGAAACAGAAGGAAGGTAAGTCACGTAGGACTTTGTGGAAACAAAGCTACTATATCAGTCCTCAGCTTCTAACCTCTGGACTTCATTTACACAAAGAAATATATATTACTTCAAATGACTTATTATTAAAAAAAAAAACAAAAAAAACAAATGACTTATTATTTATACAGCCAAATTTGATTTTAACTGATATGCCTATATAAAAGATCTTCAAAGGACAAAGTACCCACTAGAAAAGATGTATGCTCTCTCACACACACAAATATTCATATATATATATACACACACATATATATTCATTCACATTCATATGCATATATAATTAGGCAATTCATGAAAGAAATCTAAAGGATTCATAAACATCTAAAATGTGTTTAATCTCAGCAATAACCAGAGAGTTGAAAATTAAAATGAGATAGAGTATTTCATGCATCAGACTGGCAAAAGTTTCTGAACAGCCATATATCCAGTTCTGTTGTGTATTAAGGAAAATGATCCCTCTCGGCATTGTTAACACAAATTGCTATACAATTCTGGAGGGTAAATTGGAATATTCATTAAATCTGAAATGCTCTTACAACTTGAGTCGTATTCAAGAGCTTACGTCCAAGAATCTTATTGTGACATTATCTGTCAAGGCAAAAACCTGGAAGCTGGCGTTTCACACCTAGTATTTCAATAATCACCGGAAAGACAGCCATGTGTTAGTAAAATAAATACTGCATGCTGCTTCTTGCAATCTCTTGGGAGGAGTTCAACGCTAGGAAGGAGTTCATTGCCAAATTGTAATAATGAGGCCAAGAATTAAGAAATACAGAAAAAGGTCTAGTAACTCTTAAATGTTAGGGTGTGGTTGTCAATCAAGGTATAACATCCCTGTGTCCCAATTCAAATTTAACTTCCTGGTTCTCCTCAAATGTTTCTCTTAGCCAGCCTCTCCCTTTTGCTTTCCTCCTTCCCTGAATCCGTTTGACGGTGAAATCTGTCAATGTCACACCTCTAGAGAGCTTTTGCCCTCACCCTCCCTCTGATCCTACCGCACTTGGTTAGGACTGGCTATAACGTAGCATTTTGCCAGTTCTTTTCTATCCTTCACACTCAGTTCCGTCTAGCTTCCCATATGGTTCTCCATCATCACATACTACAGAGGATTTTATTCACCTTCAAGGACCTCAGCTCCGACCACGCAGCATCCTTTGGTCCATACGGCCAGGGAGCTCTATACTGTGGGATGTGCTAACGAACGTGGCCGGAACTTGAGGGGCGGAGCTTCGCTTCGGCCAATAGAAACGTGGCCTTCAGGGTCAGCGTGAGGTCACGCGGCCGGAGGGCGGGAACTTTCCCTACCGGAGACTTTTTTTTTTTTTTTTTTTTTTACCTCAGGTAAGATCTGGAGGACCCTGGTGAGAGAAGCGAGGGAAGGTGTTCTTCAGCTGAGGGTAAGAAAAGATCAGGCAGGGCCTCAAGTACGGCAGCGTGGCCATTGCTGGGAAAGGGATTTGTGAAGGCTGGCTGATGCGGCGTGTGGGGACGAGGGCCAGGACCAGCGTCCGTGTAACCTAGGCGCGAGGCGCGGGTGTGAAGGGCACCGAAATGGCCAGTAGGGTTTCACCGCCCCGCCCCCCCAGCTAGAATTGATGAGTTAAACTGCAGGCAGAAAATCAACGAACCTCTGCGATTTCACTTATTAAAGTGTGATTTGTAGGCGAGGGAGCGAGGAAGGGGAGACAGCGTCAGACGTCTTAGAATGACGACAGGAGAGGAAAAGCCATCCCGAAGCTTCATGCTCACCCCTTCGCGGTCTCAGGTCATACTGGGGACGCTCACTTTTCCAGCCCTGTGCCTGCGAGCCTGGCCAAATTAGGGTGTGAACTTCCATGTTAGCCCGGTAGAGACCGATCAGGACGTGGCGCAAGGGAAATAAGATCTTGCCGATAGTTAAGGGAGGACAATGGGGCGTCGCTACAAAACTTTATCCTATAAATACATCCCCTCGTCGGGCATGGTGGCGCACGCCTGTAATCCCAGCACTCTGGAGGCTGAGGCAGGAGGATCGTTGGGAGTTCGAGGCCAGCCTGGGCTACAAAGTGAGCTCAAGGCCAGCCTGAACTGCATAGCGAGACCCTGTCTTAAAACAAAACAAAAAGAAAAAAAAAAAAAAAACTCCTCTAAGCGTGATTTTGCTTGTTTCCCCCATGTCTCTGGTTTTAGAAATAAGACCAACTTATCTTTCTTCCCACGCACCCGCTCCTGTAAGATGGGCTCAGATATCTGTAAATGAATGAAATAAACTTTAAAATTGAAATTCTAAGAATGAATGTAACATATGGTATCTTAAGTACTAAATTTCAGTGACTGACTTCAATACAAAAGTGACTTTTGTAAGGTTATTAATGACAGTGATGAATCTGAAGGTTGGGTTTCCTAAGAAAGGAAAATTTAAGCTAAATGTTGACCATAAACTGAATGGGTAACGTAGTAGAATTCTGCTTGTTAATCTTTTGAAATGACTTCTGAAGTGAGACACATTCGAATTTTGGGGAAAGTGTAATAACAAGAAATGGAAATTCCAGAATAAATATTTGCTTCAAAGATCAGCAATACACTAGTGGGGTAAAGGCACAGAGAGGCAGTGATTGGAAATATTTTCAGAAAAGTAATCAATGCCATGTTAGTTTTGTTTAATTAAGAGAGTGGCAACGCCATGTATTGCCACCATACTTGATAGTACCACAGAATCTGATGATAGTAATGTTTATATAACTTATTGGGATGAGTTTAATTGAAAAGCTTATTGTAATATCCAAACATTTCTGTGAGTCATCAATCAAATAAAATAAATATGTTCAGAATTATCTTAGAAGTTTGCTCTTAGTTTTTACAGTCCTAAGATCGTTAACTGAAAACAGAGGTAGACTGTAGCCCTTTAATATAAATGATATTTTCAGGTCTTTTGGTTCAGTACCTTCACCACAGATAAGGAAATAGATAAACTTCAGACAAATTTAAAATAATAATGAAAGCAGGGCAAGAGCATTTGGATTAAAAATGCATATTTCATTGAATAAAATCTTACCAAACTATTATATAGAAACATCTGGCTTACATTTGAATTCCTCAAGATAATTTTAAATGATAACTTTGATAAACTGGACTCTATCCTAAAGTAATTTTTAAGCTATAATTTCTTGAGTTCTCATATAAATGAAAACTGTTTGGACTAATTCAGCATTCTAAATTTTACTTCTTGCCTCATTCAATGGATTTGTTCATATACCAATAACGATCTTTTGACTTAGTTGCTTTGCTGTACACCATTGTTGCTTTATTCCAAGTGAGCAAGCTATTAGGGAATTTTAACTTCCAGCTTTTCATCTTCTAACTAAGAGAATGGAAATAATTTTCCAAATCTGACTTTACTGCTTCAGAATTCTGTGCTTGGCTATGTGATTTCAAGACCACTTGGGAAAATCACTTTGCCTTCTTTGGAACTCTTTGGATCTTTTGCTACAAAATGATCACATTAAATATATTTCAAACCACCAACTAACACTTATATTGATTGAACAATATAACAATGTACAATTTTATAACAATACTCATTATCCTCTTTTAGGTTTAAAATCACAGCAATAAATGTTACTTTATACTTAACTTTTATCATTGAGAACCTTTTTAAAAAATGAATGAACTGAAGTTTTGTGATTATGAGAGATTTTATACTCTTGGTTTTGCTATTTTACCTACGTTTAACTCTTATATTTCCAGGTGTCGAAATCTGTACCATTTTAAAAGAAATAAGATATGTTTCCAGCATTCAAGTATTATGCAAAAGACTATTTATATGAGGTACAGTATCATTTGACTACTATGTACTTACTAATTATTATATTCTAAGAAGTATTATTTGCATATAGTATATGATAATTTGCAGTAATCCTTAGGTTAATCCTCACTGCAATTACTTTCAGATTGATTTAAAATTACTTCCTAATGATTATATTCCAAGAAGTATTATTTGCATACAGTATATGATAATTTGCAGTAATCCTTAGGTTAATCCTCACTGCAGTTACTTTCAGATTGATTTAAAATTACTTCCCACATTTAATTTACCTTAAAAAATTCCACTTTTGGAAAGAAATTATTATAATAATTAAACAATGAAAATGAATCTGAAGCTATCAGAAGAAAAACTGCAAAATTTGGCAAATTTGGAAAGTCTTTATTAACACCCTAAAACAGTCTTTCTTGGAAGGAGTTGGGGGAAAGTAGTACTTATCTTTATTACAACAGTAACAAGCATGCATGGGTCACTTATGTTGGGCCAGATACTTTGTTCTGATGGGTTATTATCCTACAAGTATTACAATTTTACAAACTTTCCAGAGAAGTTAAATAGCTTGTACAAATATTGGAGGTGATATTCAAACCCAAGCACGTTGTTGAGAAATGCACTGGAATAGTTGTCATACAGCAGTTCACTGATGATCTTGGCAAGTTCATTTGTCCTTTTCTTTATAATATAAACCACATCTACAGGCCAAAAAATGACTTTAGCAAAACTAAAACTATGTTACAGTTTATAGGAAATGGCTGGGCATGATGGTACACATGTAATACCAGTACTCAAGAGGTTGAGGCAGGAGGATGCTATGAGTCCGAGGCCATGAGTTCAAGGCCAGCCTGGACTATATAGTGAGACCCTGTCTCAGAAAAACAAACAAAAATATATATAAACATTTTACGAGAAATAACAAAGACAAGCATCTTTAGGTTTTATTGTTCCCTCATACCCAAGGGAAGCAAATGTATAATATAAGATATGCAATAGACTATATGTGGTCGAGTATTACTGGGAAGGAGTAAGAAGTTATTATGATGCATTTATGAATATATTGATCACTTGGCAAAGTACAGTATATTCATATATCCTGAAGCTTTTATTCTTGCCCATGGTATCTTAGTTTCTTTCTAGTGTCCTATAGTCCATTGTTGCTTTATTCCAAGGGAGCAAGTCCTATAGTCCATGATATAATAAAATATGATACTAAACAATAGCAAATCTTTATTTTCTTTTTTATTAGTATATGTTTGTGATACATAGTATATACACTCATTGTGGGGCATTGGTGTATGTACACATTGCATCTTGATCTCTTCTACTTCGCCTTCCTTTCTACTCCCTCTCATCTCCCCCGTCCTCACATGCTCTTGGCAAGTTAATTTTCCATTTTCTCATTCTCCTCATTCTTTTGAAGAACCAAGTCTTCGATTCATTTGATCTCTTACAGTTTTTTAAAGTCTTAGTGTCATTAATTTCCACTCTGATCTTTATAATTTCTTTCCTTTTCTTGGTTTCAGGTTTGAACTGTTCATGTCTTTTTAGGACCTTGAGATGCATCGTTAGGTTATTTATTTGGGATTGCTGTGTTCTTTTTTGTGTACATTTATGGCTATAAACTTCTTTCTTAGAACTGCTTTCTTGTGTCCAGTAGATTTGGACAGGTTGTATTTCTATTGTCATTTGATGCTAGAAGCTTTTTTATTTTTTTTCCTCATTTCTTCTGTGATCCAACAGCAAATCTTGCAAAAGATGCAGTGCTTTGTAAACTTTATAAGGACAATCTTGAACCATACAAATAATAAGTAAGGTTATTAACAAATGAAGATTTTGCAAAATTAGATCAATTAACAAAAACAAGAGGAAGAGAATAGTTTGACTATGAAAAGTAGTCAGATACCTTAACTCCTCAAATATTTTCTAAAAATCTTTTCTTTATGATCAAAGGTGAAGTAATGACTAAGGTATATATCATCATATCATACAATTTTGTAAAAATTGTTGCAAAAAAGCGGTTATAATTATAACCTAATTATAAAGTTTTGTTTGATAAAAAACTCATCTTGCCAGGCATGAGGGCACCTGCCTGTAATCCCAAAACTCGGGAGGCTGAGGCAGGAGGATCACTACAAGTTTGAGGCCAGCCTGGACTACAGAGTGAGTTCAAGGCCAGCCTGAACTACAAGCAAGACCTTATCTCAAAACCAACCAACAAAAACTGAAACAAACCAACCAATAAACCAAAAAACTTATCTTTTATAACTTTCTTTTTATATAAAAGGGTAATCACGTTTTTCTTCTTATGAATCTTTGGCTCTCATTTTATGTAAGTTATTCTTGCACTTATTCTTGGGTAGTGATCATCACTTATTTAACATGTTATAAACCTTCAGCAAACTATAACACTCTTGAGAAAAAAATACAGGAAACTGTCATTTGTCCAAATACGTAAAATAATGAATTCTGTTGGAAGTTAGAGTCACTAGGGGAAGGGGTCATAGAAGAGATACTGCTTAAGATGGCCCTTCAAAGATGAGTAGAATTTTGATAGCAGGAGGAAACAGGAAGGGCATTTTCAGAGAAACACTGTAGATGGCGCTGTTGATAAGGGAGTGACCACTGAATGTTAAGGGACTGGGAAGTTGAGAAGCAATTTGTCGATTTAGAGGGAAAAAAAGGTACAGTACTGTAATGGAAATTGGAGTTGGAAAGTAAAAGGAAAGCTAAATTACAACTTCCACTAATTTATTCAACTGATTTCACATCACTTTAAAGGAACCGTTTTCTTTACTGATATATTTTTAAAAACTTGAAACATAGTTTGTGGTTATAACAAGTAAAATAATGGAAAGGCATGGAAAACAAAAATCAAGATAGCTGCATTATACTGTGTGTTACTTTTCCTATCATTGCTGAGACAAAATATCCGACACCCAAAGTCAAAGGAGGAAAGGTTTATTCAGCTCACAGTTTATAGAGGTTTCAGTCCATATCTGGCTCCAAGACAGAGTGGCACACGGCGGAGGGACAACAGTTCATTGTAGCGGAAGACAGCAAAAGCAGTGCAAAAGCTCGAGACAAGCCTCTTTCTGTCCCTTATATTGTATCCAGTCTACCTGGATTAAGGTGGTGGCCGTCCAAACAGTGGACTGATCCAGCAGTCACCCACCCTTAATCCAGCAGTGCACTACAAATCAATCACACACTCTAGATTCAGCCACTTCCGAAAAAACTCTGTGCCTGCATAAGGCTTTGGGGGGACATCTAGACATAAACTCTAACACACCAGTTAGTGGAAAAAACACAGTGTTAAGTGATATATGTCTTAATTCCTTTTCTTGTTGCTGAGACAAAATACCTGACACCCACAAGTTAAAGAAGGAAAGGTTTATTTCAGCTCACAGTTTGTAGAGGTTTCAGTCCATAGTCATTTGGTTCTAAGGCCGGGTGGTATGGCAGAGGAGCATCACAGAGGAAAAACTGTCCATGGCAGGGCAGGCAGCAGATAACAAGAGTTAGTTTCCCTTTCCTTTTTATCCATCCACACTACAAGCCTTTTGGGGGATGCCACTCACACCCAGGGTGGGCCTTCAATTATCTACACCCAGAGCTATGCTAACCCAATTTAGTTATCACACACTGTTAATCTCAATGTCACACACCCTAGACCCAGCCACCTCTGAAAAGCCCCACTAAATCCATGAGGCTTTTGGAGGACATCTAGATACAAGCCATAAGAACACATAAATGATGTAATCCCATGTTTTTGGTTGAACACACATGTAAGTCTGATTTAGAAAAAAAAAAAATCTGTAGGATAATATATCAAACCATTACTAATAATTGCTAGGGATTGTGACTTTCCTAATTTTATGGTTCTGTCTTATTAGATATTTTGTAACAAGCATAGATTACTTTTAAAGATAAATTCTGTAAGTTTAAAAAATAGAGAATTTTTAATATTCTGGACATTGATAAATAATATATGTTAAAAGATTTTATAATCTTACTTTCTCATACAGAATGTAGTTAGAAAAAAGTTTTATCAAGATGCTTTCTTGCTTCAAATACCTCCATGTTTCTACCAAGATGAAAATTATACAGGAGTTACTGAAGATGAATATAACAGGCCATGGACAAGAGGTATGTTTTGTTTTTATTTCTCAAAAATATGTGTTTGGGGTTTTTATGCTTCAAAAAGATGACATTTATTCAAAGAAGAAAAAAATTGACAAGATGTCCATCCCTTAGCTCCCTTGCTCCCCCCTCCAGCTGCTCCTCACTCCCCAGAATTGAACTCTTGTTGGAGAGGCAGCAGGACACCCCCTCTCTGATGAGTCAGCGTCATGAGGGGAATCTTTTCAGTGGAGGTGTTGTAGAAAGTCTCGATGTCTTAAAGAGTCCTCTTGTCTTCTTCTGTCACCATGTTAATAGTCTTATGGCCCAAATGCCCACTATGACCAATTGTTTATGCATGTTCAGTTTTTCCTGTTTGTGGGAAGATCAACATTGATGATTAAGGAAACCTGACACCCAACAGTGCCTCTGGCCAGCAAGTCAGTGGTAATAAATACTCTGCTAGAGCCCGACCAGAACTTCCTCATGATGCCATCTCATTCCATTCAGTCCATATCTCCATGCATGGCAGAGGCAGCACAGTCTCTGGCATGCATCTTCCCAGTGAGTCAATAAGCCTTCCTTTGGCTGTTGATGAAGATGACTGCCTGGGTGATGGTCAGGGTTTCACACAAGTCACACAGTGTGTCCAGCTTTCATTCCGCTCATTCCACATTAATGTACAATTGGCATATTCCCTTGAGGTCAACTCTTCCTTCTTCACAAGAATCTGAACTGAGTCCCTCATGAACTTCGTGGTCACCTCTAGGATGCCACAAGGCAGTGTAGCTGACAGTGAAACCACCTGCGTGTTGCTGTTGAGCCTTTGGAATATGTCATAACTCTGGTTCCTGAATTCACGGCTCCGCATTTCATCAGCTTCATCTAATACAAACATCTTAATGTATTTGGGAGACAAGTATCTCTAGTTAACCATATCAGACATCCAGCCAAAGGTTCCCATGACGAGATGGGGAGCTTCCATCTGCAGAGTCTGTACCTCAGCATGCACTTTGGTGCCTCCAGTACAGGCATGACATAAGGCATCGATGTCATCTCCTAATGCCATGACCACCTTTTGGATCTGAACCCAGACAGAAAAAGTACTCATTTACTGACTCTGACCACATCAGTCCCTGATTCTTTTTGTTGTTGTTGTTGTTGTTTGTTTGTTTGTTTAAGACAGGATCTTGCTTTATAGTGGTTTTGAACTCACTATGTAGTCCAGGCTGGCCCAGAACTCACAGTGATCCTCCTGCCTCAGCCTCCCAAGTGCTGGGATTACATGCATGCACCACCATGCCTAGCTAGGCCCTGATTCTCAGTCTTAATGCCTCTTACGTATCTGACAACCT